CCACCCACCCACCCCACCAACACTGGCAGGGCCTGCCACCGTATATAAACCGAGAGCAAACCCCATTCCATTCTAGCACTGAAGATGTTACCTAGCTGGGTAACGAAACGTTTGCAAGAAAAACAACCAAGCTCAGAGAACCCCAAGGACACCATGTTGTCCATTGTGTTGAGGTCTTCAGAGGCCAATGTTTTAAAAAACGAGTTTAGCCTCTGGATAAAAAGAGTTGCTTACTTGATCTAAAGTGCTGGAAGGAAAAGGCCATCCTTACATCTAGTAGCAGTGAGTTCCATCAGCTTAGCCTTCTCCTGAAGCATTGGAGGTGACCCCTGAAGGACAAACTAAACTCTCTGAAACATTTCCTTCCCAGATTATTTTAGTAGCTTTCACACCTCTCACCGCTTAACGTATTTCAAGGTATTTATTTACGTGATAAATAGTTAAAGAAATAAATGCTGATAAAAATGGCCATTATATATAAAGATGATTTAAAAAAAACAGGATAAGCAGAGTCTGAAGCTCTTCAGTGTAAAGACTGTGAAGTTCAAATTGCGTGAGTATATGGGTTTTGCTTTGCTTTGATCTTTTGGGCGGAGAACATGATAAAAGCGTTTACATCAAGGTTGGGCCCACTCGGATGTCTTGCATTTGCTAAAGCATCCAGACTTAGAGATATCAAAACCTAAAAATAGAACAGGACGGCTTCTTTGAGCCAGCTTCCCCTCCCTGTTGCAAAAACCCCTCCAGGAAGGTGTGTACCGTCCATTCAAGGCCACATGGGTTAAAGAAGAAAAATTCAGGCCATGGCTCTTTGTGTGTGTGTGCGTGTTTGTGTGTGTTATCCGATGCCTTCACTCCCTTCCGAATTTTCCCTGGGGAATTCTGATGAGGTGGCTTTAGTTCTTCAGGGAAGCAACCATGCAGCTTGGGCTTGCCAGCATCCTCCTGGGTCTTTGGCTAACGGCTGAGTCCCTCTCCTCGCCTGCAAGGAGAAACCACCTAGAAGAAAGCCCTCAGAGACCATTGGAAGGTCCCACTTTAGGAGAACTGAAATCCCCAGAAGAGGAAGACCAAGTCAAGGTTGCATTGGACTTCGAGGAACCCCCTTCGAAGGTCGTGGTTGTTTCACGGGAGTCAGAAGACAGCCCTGGACATTTCCCACCTCATCAGCCCTTGGCTGAGGAGGTGAGACCCTTGAGTTTATGGCCCCAATCTGGTTCTCAGCCATGGCTTCACGGAAGCTCAGAGGAATCAGTGTGTCATGTGAGGCTGGATGGGGGCAGCTTTTGGGGTCCTAACCATCTGGAGGTGGGTGGCCTCCTCAGCCGTTATGACAGTGGGTTCTTGAAGGCACTGAGGAGATCTGTCTGGAGCAGAGAGGACCTGGAGACCTTTGGGATATGTCCCTCAAGCCCACCCCACAGCCTTCTTGGATCACTCCAGCATGTGGCTGATTCTCTGGGCAGGCCTGGAGGACACCGTTTCTTCATGTTGCATCTGGAAGAAGGTAAGTGGAGAGAAGGGTGGAAAGACAACACTTGCATTATTACTATTCTTCCCTCTCTCCCCATTTATAGAAAGCATAAAGAGTTTTAGAAATTGGCCTTGATCAACACCAGTGATAAAGACGACGTCTGGTGCTTTTCCAACATTCTTCCTCCTTTCCTTTCCTTCCTCCTTTCCTTTCCATATGCAAGTAGAAGATACCAATATCAATCCAGAAAGACCAGAAAGGGAAAGAGGGAAATATAAATAAATAAATAT